CTACAAAATTATGCTTGCCTTAGGTATGTTTCCTCATATTTTCCAACGTATACACCGACCAGAGAATTTTTTCAATCGTGAAAATATTCGTAAAAAGGTTCTTCACATGCTGTGCTGTCACACACGATCACTCAGTAAGTCTTGGAGCAGATCGAAAGATGACCGATGACCTTTGGCATCTAAAACTCCAGGCAGGAAGTCCCAGTGTAGAGACACATTGTTCGCTTGCCTGGGGGTTGTTTCGCTTGTGCAAGGTGGAAGGTACGCACCGATAGTAGTGTGAAACTTGGCCGCTCAAAAGTATTGACCAGTGAGGAAAAACGCTTGTGGCAACTCACTCCTTATGCCTACGTCTCCCATCAGGTAGGCCATGCGGATGTCTATTGCTGACCAGAGTCACGGCTAGCGCCGCATGCACAGCATTTGACCCATCTCATTTCACGTGGCAGTTCTGCGTTGTGCAGGCGAACAGGAGGGACGCACCCCACTAATTTGTGCGCTATACCCGAATGGGATTGATGGTATGCACCCAAATAGTCCGAGCTGCTCCCTGAAATGAAGTTCGCGAGTCAACGAGGATCTCTCAGGGTATTTTCGAATTTTTCACTTTGAATAACCTCGAAGGGCCGATATTATGGAGCGGTTTTGAGTAAAACCGCCAAATACTATCCCGATAGGAGCGTGCAGACGAGCAGCGCGAACGACCTTGCCCCGTGAATTCTGTGCGTATGTCGAAGGGTGGAGACCTCATCGTCAGCAATGTCACTCAATCTGAGCCTCTTCCTTCGCAGGCATCTCTGAAAGTACATGCATTTCTGCGGATAACCTGAGCACCTCACACAAGGAAAATATTCACTTTCTGGCAGTCTTGCTCAGTAAATTGTAAAAAAAGAAAACGGCACAAACCTTTTCGGAAAATCTGCAGCCCTAAAAATCGGCTCGGTTGTGTGACGTTATTTTCCCACATATACGTATCTGAAACCTACAGAATAATCTCAAGGCCTATACGACATGTGTGCGATCGGAGTGAACTCGTTACTGACTGGATATTTCTGGCTGACTGGAGCTAATTATTGCATGATGCCTCTCCTGATGTTCCTCACTGGAGCAGCCGGGCTCGGTAGGTATTTGTTCTTCTAATGTCAGACTTGGTCCAAAAGCTTTATCAGGAAAGAAGAAGGAAAAATGAAATGAAGCAAGGGCTAGAAGAAAAGTTCAGACTGTACGTGCCTGTCGTGTATACCAGGACGAATATCAGTCTCCTTTGGCAGGGGTTCCTTCTCTGGAAGAGGGATCCATTTTAAAGGATTCGGCATTAAAAGGACACTATCTGATTCGGCATCAGACACTCATTTTCGCTGCGGACGCTGGGGCGTGTCAGAAAACTCGGGTTCTCAGCTCTGTTATGGAGCCCGGAAGAGAAAGTGACGCTAATTCAGCTTTTTTACTTACTAGAGACTGCTTAGGCGGAGAATTTTGCTTCTCCTCCGCACTCAGTTTGACCCGAGAACATTCACGAGCCGTTTGCGGCACAGTATAGAGGCCTATTTTCCTGAACCTATAATTTAGTGATCCTTAGGCGAATTCTTACTTATTGGTATCATAACGATACGAGGCCGATTTCCTCATCAGGATCTGCCGTCGTCTGTGTCTGTTTTGACCACTTCACATGGTGAAGTTTGGCGGAGCCAAGGCGTCACATGCCAAAGTTAGGAGCAGGGGAAAAATCGTAAAATAAAGACTTGTAAGGAGTGAAGGCTCTGCGGTAATTTTAGACAAGATATTCATCGCGATATACATTCAGGTCTATGGTGTGGTGCATGCATGATTTGTCTCGTATTAGTCATCAATCGACTGCTTGACCTTTGGAACAAGCAGATGATGCAGATGGTAAGCAATTTACAGTTGAACAGCCACTTCCAGAGAAATCTGATAAATATTTGTAACATCAGTACTGGTGCACTGTATACGCGATACAGTGATCGCATTCATCATGCGTAAATTGCAAGTGCCATTCTAGTACCACACATATCGATGCCGAAAGAGACGAAGACTTAGCAGAGGCCAGCGGGAGACCACCTGAGGCTTCACTCTCACGGCTGCGCGTGTGTTAAGCACTATATTAGAATGTAGAATGTCTGTCTCAGTGGTAGGACAATGCATAAAAATAGACGTAGATGCCACAACGTTTGCTTTCGATTCTGAAGAGACTCTGGTCATATGAACTGTGGCATCAATAATTTCAACATTCAGCACTGTGAGATCTCCGTTCCGAATCATTTTCTAAGAGATTGCAACAGCCACCACACTACCTCCCGTGTGAGCAAGAGGGTGGAGGCTAAACGCTGGAGTATCCTTTTGGATACTACTTCAACACTGTCTATTTGAATTTCGCTTTCTTCTGTATTTTTTTACATTTTCTCTCTGTCATTCTTTTCGTTTTTCTTCTCGTTTGTGTCTTATATTCTGTTCTCTTTGATGTGATTCTAGTTTATGTTCTGTGTGATTACTGTCTGATTTAATCTCACGTTTGCAATATATTTAAGAGTGTAAGTTACGCAGGGAGATTCCCACTCTAGTCCTACCTTCTGTTGTTTTTTTTTTCTCTTTTTTTCGCTTCGCTTTTGGAAAACTTACTGGAAATGGAAACTCCAGACATGTATAGTGGAACAGAAACATGATTCTACTTCATAGGGCAATTTGAATATTGCCTATTAACGAAGCGAGTAGTAAGTTGTATTTAGCGGCATTATATATATTAAAGTGTGGCTGATTGGGATGGTGTCCAGCTTTCATTATCTTTTTCAGATTCTTTCCTGTTACACAATGATTTACCTTAACGTTTTTTAAGGCTCATGTCACTTTGGATACAAAATTTTATATTAAATCTCTTATCCAATTTCAGTCTTATTTTCGCTTGGCATCCGTACCTATTATGTTGTCTTGGCCTGATGTCCGTTTTTTGTTGTGCTAAGTCGTCTTTTCGTTCTTATTTTCTATATACTTTTCACTCATCCTGTGTTATTCAACTCTGACCACACTGCCTGGTTTTTCTTTACGTTCGCCGATAACCACGACATTGGTGAGGTATGGTAAGCTTTCCATTTTTGCAATAATATCTAGTAAGTGAAATGAGTCTTAAAGATGCCAAATCAAAGTCAACGTGGTCCACAATGTGCCTGGGCATCATACTGTGGGCGACAATATTTGAAAGAGCCCTGATACATTGTATGCTTATAAAGATTTGTTTACTATATCGAGTATAGATATATCAGGAAAGTTCTTGAAAAATAAATCTCAAAAAAATCGAATCTTGCAAAAACTAACAGCTCCCGACGGGATAGTTGTTGCTCCACTATTTGAGTCTCTCGCCTGTGCTTCCACTTCATTTCACATTTCCCGTTGTTTTTTCACAGCAGAGTTCACCTTAGTGTCGAATGCATGCTTCATTCAACAGCGAAAGTTAGGCTGCTTGTTGGCCCTCTCCATACAAAAACGTGATAAAGTGACGGGGAGACGCGCGCGCACCTAATCCCTTCTTTTGTTGCATTTTCTTCTTTCAAGGTACGCCAAAAACGGCTTTTGCGGTAGACACCGCTTGTAGTTGAAGCTCAGATTCGTAATGTAGCAAGGCACTCGCGCACTCAAGACATTCAGACTCATAAAGCAGCTCGATGCGAATGCAACAATTCGGAGGAATCGGATGATGTGCCTACCATCGAGAGGAGTTCAACCAATCGATAGAGGGGACGAAATGTATAGTTCAACTGGCTAAGAAAAATGTCTCAGCTCTATCTATGCTTCGATGTGAGCCGCACCGTTTGTAGCGCACTGCGTTTGCTTAAGTGTCTGAAAAATATCGAAAGATTCCTTTGAATATCCACCGAACTGTCTTCAGAGACGAGGCTCTCATTACTTACTGGCTCCTGCGCTCTCGTTTAAATGAAGACCTTGTTTCTCGTAAGGTCTGTCCTTTTAGTTGGATGAAAAATGAGTAAAACTATACGCGAAGGCATCCCCACATCAGGTAGTTCGTTGTCAGGTACATAGAAGTGTATAGTGTAGTTCTCTGCGGACGGTTGGGCGTGTCAGTGCGGCTGCGTTTGGCGCGGTGCCAAACCCGTTCTCCACCAGTTTTTAAAGCGAACAAATGATATGACTGTATCATATCGCGTATTACTCGTTTTCTACCACTTTTTGAACGGCTTCGACGCTGTACACACTCATTCTGGCTGACACCAACCATCCGCTGCGAAGTAGAGTGTATATGTGATGAGCTTGTATTAAAAGTGCACCTTGCTACAGCGCAAATTTTTTCAAAGTAGTACGTGAAATCGTACGCTCAACTGAAGGAGGTGAACACATATCACGCTAAAAATTCAACATTTTTCCAAGTGATGAGAATAATAGCCCCTATCCTGTCATCATTTTACTTCAGTTCCACAACTATCCGCACACGGTCAACAATTTACTCGTAGTTGCAATCACATGTTCACTATATGTGTGCTACTCAAGACTTCTTTTACGTCTTTCGAGAGGATCCGGCAAACTATTATGGGCACAGAAATCCGTGAGGCTTTGTTTTACACTAGGACGCTTTTCTATGTACTAGCTCCTTACATATTTCTTCATTTTCATCTGAATAGAAAGGGTACTGTTTGGCGGGGAGGGGGGGGAAGGCATTCTGCACTTTCACTACTTCCCATTAGACCTATCTAGACAGCCTCTTCTCGAGTTGACAGGTTTTACCATGATGGCTTGTCGACCTTGCTCCAGCTTCACAAGAGTTCACAGGTTTCACCAGAGTGAGACTTGTAAACCGGAACTAGGGAAGCAATGAAAGTACAAAATGCCTCCCCTCCCCGTTGCCGAACTGCGCCGAAATAACGTGCTGAATTTTGGAACACTGAATCCAGCGGAACTATTTGCGCTACTAGGAATCGAGTCACTTGCTGAATCTTCTGTTCGTTTAGTTTTTCATACAAACCTCATTAATTTGTATGGCAAATGTAATTGGAGCAGTGATTTACGTCTATATGCAGTTCCTGCCGACACCGTCATGTCTGATTATGATTGGTCACATCTGCTGGCAGCTTAGTCATGGTACGTTGTTGACACTGCCCAATTTCAATGGTACTCCTTATGTGCAGAGGTGCTACTAAAGCGATACGAAAGCTACGAATGCTAAGGGTTTTTCGTTGGATAGAAGTAGCTTGGGTTGGACACAAATGAGAACTGTTGTAAAAGGGACGGAGTGCATTTTGATTATGAAGTATTTTTTAGGTCCTTGTCGGCTGTAGGAGCTCAAGAAAAGTTATAGAAAAAAGGTTGGCTAAAACAATGTTGTGATGGCGGATTCAGAAGAGTCTACTGTATAGAAAATGAGTCACAACTACAAATAATGTCCATTCACAAACTAATATCGGACAGAACAATAGAATGGACAACAAATGTTTTCAACTAGACTAGCTCATGAGCAATGGCGCTTTTCTAGCTTAAAATCCTCGCGATGAAGATGGGCTGTCCGCTGAATTCTGAATTGTTTGATAGAAGACTTTCCGCTCTATGGAAGGTCTCGCTGCTTAATCGAAAATTCTGCCTTCCATTAATTTTCAGTCTGCCTCCATTAATTTTTAAGTGCCTAAACTTAGTGTCATTTCAACAAAGTTGGGCATCTTCGACTTAGTCCGCCCATTTAGAGAGCTGAAACCGCAGAACCACTCTGTAGTTTGTTGGATAAAAAGCAATATATCTTAAAGGGCGCAAAGCTTTCAATACTACTCAGGTATTTCAATTTAGACCTCGAAGACAAGCATCGCAGCACCAGCTGCCCTATAGGGCTCGATCTACGAGTCGGACTACACTGAGACCCCTGTCGAAGAAAAGGGAATTAGTAGAGATCCTGGAAGACTCCAGCATTCTCATTGAGCATCGAAATTTACCTGATCGGAGAGTTTCGGAACTTGGAGCATGTTGACTGCAGGCAGTCGCTGAGGGGTGTTCCATGCAATGCAGATGTACAAAAAAGAAATGCCATCTCTTGAACGATGGGACCACTGCAGGCCGATTTAACAGACGTACATCCTCTAGTCATAAACATCAAAAGTGTGAAGCCGCTTTTGCGTAACGAGAGTCAAGGTTTAAGGCGCTGCCCCAGTCAGTCAACCTTCCTCTCCTTTCGTGAGCGTACAGGCCCGTAGGGGCAGCGATCACTTTCGCAGCGCAAAGGTAAGAGGGGGGGGGGTAGGACCCAGAAGGCGGAGACATTGTCGTTCCTTTCATTAGCGCGATCCCTTTTCATTGACCCCGCCCGCCGCTCCGCTATCCATAATGATAGAAGACCCTCTGAAGAAAATGATAGAAGACCTGCTAAAGAATAGCGAATAGCAAAGAGAGTGATCGAGATCACTGGGAGTGATCCAGAGACATTATTGACAACAGGAAATGTGATCAATAGCGCATAGAAGTTCTCAATTTGTCTTGTGCCTTACGAGGTTGATAGGTGGAACGTTTATTCAATATGGCCTAACGTTTCGACTGAATCGTCGTCATCAGAGGCCGACGGTTCCACCTTATGAGCGACAGTGTCCGCTGCCACACAAGAGGATAGTTAGTGTAAATACTAATAATAATAAATATGATGCCAGAGGTTTTACAAGTAACCATCGCTCTTGTGTGGCAGCGGACACTCAAAATGAAACCGTCGGCCTCTGATGACGACGATTCAGTCGAAACGTTAGGCCATATTGAATAAACAGTTCCACCTATCAACCTCGTAAGGCACAAAACAAATTAAGAACTTTCATTTGTGCACCAACGATTTTTTTTGATGATTGCAAATTGCGGAAAATCTAGCAATAAGTGAGCCCATCCGCGTGTAGAGCGGGATGTTGTCCATCGTACAGCACAGAACTCGTTCAGTAATCTTCTCACTTTTCACATAGACTTCAATGAAAAACGACATCAACTATGTAAGTGCCAACCCAGTATCATAGCCATTTAGTCAGTATCCGATATGAAGGATACGAGGTTCATTGTTTTCAAACGTCTCCACTACAAGCGTGCTTCGGTATAGTAAGTCATAACTTTGCCAACAGTAAGCGTGCCTTCTGATTACCTTTCACGGAATAGAAAATAGCTTCCCTGAGTCCCCTAAAGTTAAGTGTTTCGATGGAGTTGTCCTGCTTGTAAGCAGTCGTGTAAATTTGTGTAGTGTAAATGTGTGTAATACAGTGTAAATTTCAGGTTTCCCCGCATTCGTTTACCTGCTCTTGAACCGCACAATCCAACGTGAGGCACTCCGGACACTGGGAATGCGAAAGGCGACATGGGGCTGTGACGCCTAATGGGAATCCTAGCACTGCTCCAAAGACGATTAATACAGAACCACAGCTCGAGACCAAGAGATAGCTTCGATTGCATTTGTCGGCGACTGAACTGCACCATATTCCGGAGACGAGCTCATTTTTATGAGATAGCAGCAGATGCTGTCTGAGTTGAATGCTGTTTTATAGGAAAATCATTTTATTCATAACCAGGCCTGTTCTGTGGTTTTTAGAAAGATTGACATTGCTAGCCTTATTAGGCTGGGAAATGTTTGAGTATTGCTAAAGCACTTCAGGTTTGAGTATTTCTTCCTTCGTGCTAAGCTTGCTTAGTGTCTGATATAGGATGTTATGAATAAAACATGTTGTGAGGATAGACTTGTACTCAAAACGAGGAGATGCACAAGTGAGTCACGTATTCGGTCTCCAGTAAACGATTGAACACTCAAAACAAGCTTGCATACCACGTTTGCACTGACAGATCACTTCGAAGTCAGAAGAGTTGCATGCAAAACTTATAAAGTTTGCTTTAAAACCTAATGCTCTATTGAGTCCTACCGAGAGCTTACTTAATCACCTTATTCACAGAGATGCATGCCAAACAAATGGGAAATGATAGATGCCGTGAAGGTTTTGCACGTTCTCATTGATCATCACCTGCACTTGGTGGAACAGGTTCAACAATTGGTCAAAGGGATCTACAGGCAGACTATCCCCAAGAGGGAGCTTCATGCCATGCTCTTTGATAAGGCCCGAATACCCATCTCTGAGTCGCTTGAAGCAGTTTCAAGCCCTCCTAGGGACATACTTGTTCATCTGCATCACATGTTTTGCTGCTTCCTTTATCTGAGAGCCTTGATCAGGTTCAAAAAGGTTTTGTAACTCACATTTGTCCCTACCCGACCAGAGCCAAGCTCGACCCCTCCTCTGCAACTAAGGACGATTCTGTTGAGGCTCCACGCAGGACCCTGATCCAAAAGCATACAGGGGGGGGGCAAAAAAAGTCACTTTTCTTCATTGACTTTCGAGGCGCTATAAGTTACACTTTATTAAATTCTCATCGGACATTTTCACCACCATATTAAAGAGCATATTAAATACTATCATGACACTCCGCCACAGCCTTCTGGACGAGCGCCATCGAGAGATTCTGGCACGCGACCGTGGGTGCCTGAGATCAGCGAGATAGTCGATTTCTCCGCCACCGTAGACCACCCTATTGAACTCCGCCCGAACCGGGTAATTGAGGGGATTCAGGTCAGGTGACCTACTTGGATATTCCATCTCCTTCAGGTACTCAACGACTTCCATTCCAAGTAGGCGAAGGTTTTTCCAACGTCCTCCGATTCCATGTGGTGGCATCTGGATCATCCATGTGGCTGTAGCAGTACAAAGTTTCCAAGAAGTACGGATGACGACATAGAGGAGGATATTCTTCACGAGTTGCTCAATGTAGCGCTCACCTTCAGTCCGGGGTCCACGAAGAAAATATTGGTCTTTCCATTCCAGGTACGTCCGGTCCATACCATCAACCCGCGCCTTGGCGACTGCGGTGAAGATGATGTCCTAGACCGTGGCGACGTTGTCGGAGCTGCTCGATGTTGGAGGTCATCCAGATCGAGTCTCCAGGTAGCTATCCATGGGTGACTCCATACTAGAAGTTTCGCAGCTGTTTGGAGGTGACATGAATTCCAAAGGTCTTCTCCAGTCAGGCTGCGACTGGAGATGACTTCATATTTTGGTGTACATGAAGGTGATGGGCGAGAGCCAGCTCCTGCTTATAGAGGAACATCTTGGGTATCTTCCGCCCTGGTACTCGTATCCACGTCCTCTGTCTGGGCAGCGAAAACTTTGCTGATATGTGACTCGGTCAAAGTGACTTTTTTTGCCCCCCCCCCCTGTATTTCACTAGTTTACGCTGCTGTCGTAAGTGGAGACACCTGGATTCTCGTCACTCTTCTCGTTGGCGCAGAGTGTTAAAACTGACCCCGACTCATTGGACCTATCGAATGCTGCATAAGCTTGAACATGAATAAGTCCGAACTCGAACTGTTGTACCGCCTACAAATTTGCGCTCCGTCTGTCGTAGAATCTGCGCGACGGGATTTCGCTACAACATCGGGTACTCGACATATTGAAGGAATACCAATAGCTGAGGGATGGAAACGTCCACGTTTCAGAACAGGGTTTTTTTGGATGAGAAAAGGGTCGAGCAATTTCTTCAACTTGCAAACAAAAAAGCCATCAGGCTTCATATGGTACGCTCCAGAGACTTTGAGGTTTCTATGTCTCTCCAGCTTTCAAGCTCTCAGGAAGCTACTTCCTTCTTTGAATTTTCGCAATTATATACCGCAAGCTCTCGGTTTTTAAGTGTTCGCTTCAGGAGCTCGTTAATAGGCGATTCAGAGACTGCGAGCAAAGAACCGGAAAGAGAATGTAGGAAAGAAGAAAAGAATGATGTATGAGCTCCTGCATCCGTCAAGATATCCTTGGTGCTCCTACAGATATTGCCAGCAACGCAGTTTCCGTTCTTTCGCAGTAGAGGATGTCCTCAACTAACCCCTTCCGTACTGGCTTATAATGGTAGGCTAGAAGTCGTCCATAAAAATGAAGTGTCCGATCAGAATCTAATAAAGTGTAGCTTATAGCGCCTCAGAAGTCAACGAAGAAAAATGTCTTTTTTTGCCCCCCCCCCTGTATATCCCGGTAACTTTGACGGGAAGGTGTGTTCTAGAGTTCTAGAGGTTCCTTGTATTAACTGGAGACGATATTGCGCTGAAGGCGCGCGCTTATCGGGTTGCCCGAAATTGGCACAACAAAAACAAGTTTTTTTTTGAACCGGGCCCCGGTTTTTTTTTTGTGTTAAGGAGGTTACGTATGAAGAAAGTCATGACTGCTCAATTCATAAATTTGTAGGTGACACTAAAATCCCACCACGGCGCTGCACCGGGGAATATCATCGTAAAGAGGTGTTTGAAGTCGCTCAAGCACAGTCAATTTATATCAAAACCCCGCTTTCTCCTCTTGAGAAGCTCCAATCCAAGAAAGTCATGGTTGTTCAGAGAAAGGTTCTTCCGGAAACTGGCCTTTTCTGGAAAGATACCGCTGAAAAGCCGGTGGTGGTATAACGACAAGCGGTGCGCCTACCACTCGAGCAGACCTAGGTTCAAATACTGGTAGTGGTCGACTCTCACCCACTACCAGATTTGTCCTGATAAGAATACACGGACTTGCATATGGGCTGACCCCCGCAATTCATTGTACCGGGAGGGAGCAAAAAAGGCATTCCGCGGCAAGTATCAGTTAAGAAGATGCGGCCCAGAGAGAAGACGTGGATACGAGTACAGGGCGAAAGATACCCAAGATGTTCCTCGATAAGCAGAAGCAGGCTCTCATCCATCACCTTCATGTACACCAAAATATGAAGCCATCTCGCAAAGGGATTGACCAACGGCAAAGAGTTTATCCTTCGTCTTTTAAAGCTTTAGCTCGTTCCAGTGCAACTTCTGAGTGCGCGGGAATGTTAAAATTCAAGTATCTAGCTCGATCTTTCGGACAGCAGTTGTACCGAGACCCTTTTTCAGGAGGGAGGATTGGTGGGCAGTACTCATTGCCACACTCAATTTCACACAACGCTTCGGTGTGCTCTGCTGCGAAATCTATTTCGTTTGTGTGAGTGGAGGTGGAACGGCAACACAGATCGGCTCCAGCCCGGGCCAACACCAACCTTCCATCCCTGTTGGTCAGTAACCCCTCAAGCTTTGAATGGTCGAGCTTTGACAACTAGCCAATTATTTCAAAAATGCTGAGGTCGGCTGTTCAACTCTATAATTGCAAGAAAGCTGCGCGCTTCCCCACAAGATTGAAAACGTTTCAAAACAACTTTGGTAGAGGCTCGCCTACTAGCAAGAAGCAGAGGGAAAAAAGGCCGCGTTCAGACTTCGCGACAGTTTAGACTAGGAGAATTGATCTTTCGTTTTGGCGGAGTCAATCACATCTTTTCCGCATTCTTCTTTAAAATCTCCTCTGTACTATTGTATAGAAGAGCTCCTAAGTCAGTAGAGAGCTTTCTACTTGTTTGCCTTTAACATCTGTAATGTGATCTCTCATCACTCCATCATCCTTTCTCTAATGTTTCCTTCCATGATCACGTCTTTTAGAGATGTAAAAAATCTGCCATTTCGAAAATAACAAGCGGTTTCAGTTTACAGCGTTGCATTTAATCCTCGTCATCCGGGCAGTTGATTAGGGCGGTCGTCAACGGGCCGCAGCGCGTGCCAGGAACTATTTGCTTTTCCAGGCTAATTTAGTCATTTTTTCCACCTTGTGAAGATAAGGAGCTGCTAATCTGGGAAAAAGTAGCCAAAACAGTGAAAAGTTGGAAAAAATGACTAAATTAGCCTGGAAAAAGCAAATAGTTCCTGGCACGCGCTGCGGCCCGTTGACGACCGCCCTAATCAACTGCCCGGATGACGAGGGTAGTGTTCGCGCCCGTGGAGCTTGCGATGTTGCGCAGACTTATCTAATAGTGAACCTATCTGCCAGTCTTCAGGGCATATGTTTACTATACTGCAACCTGCACTTCACAAGCAACTTATGAGCAGGTAAGGTTTGTATGCAGTAGGGTGGAGGCTTGGTGGTGAGCTGTGAAGCATAAGCGAGGAATCGCATACGTCGAATCGAGTCGTCGAACGTCGAACCTTACCACTGAACCACCACGACTCGATTCGACGTATGCGATTCCTCGCTTATGCTTCACAGCTCACCACCAAGCCTCCACCCTACTGCACCATTACAAACTTTACCTGCTCATAAGTTGCTTGTGAAATGCAGGTTGCAGTTTTGCTATCTATATTTGTAAATACCCTTATAGACTCTATCTATCCCTGGCTTCCATTTAAAGTTCCATGGTAAGATGGCGGACTTCCCTGGTTAGAAGTACGATGGATTTTGAATGACTGCAACTCACTTCACAAAACACCTTAGTAAAAACATCTCAAAAGAATATATTGTGAAAAGAG